TTAATGCGTATACACTCTTCAATCTTCTAATTACTGCTAATGAATTTGTGCTTGAAGAATTGAGTAATGCTGCGCAAGCACAATTGATTAAGAATTATCCATTGTGGATGCGTCGGGATTTTATTAAAGTTTATGAAAAAAGTTTTGGAAGTCATAATTTTAAAGCTTTACAACAGTTCTGTAATGAAATTATTGTTAAACATCCAAATATTATGGTTGATTCTAGACTATGTGAATCTCTCAGAAGGCGCCTTGGTTTCTCTTTTAAAACGTGACAACTTAAATATAGATGAAGGAAAATTTTGGGATCAGGTTATTAGATGGGGAATTGCTCAAAATCCTGACCTTGATCCTAATCTTGCACAGTGGTCTAATGCAGATTTTTTAACTTTAAAAACTACTCTCAAAAATTGCATGCCCATATTCGATACTTTCAAATTACTGGTGAGAATGTTATAGATAAGTTATATCCATATCAGCAAATTTTTGAACCTGATTTATGGAAAGATATTATGACAAAATTTGCAGTTCCGAGTAGAGCTATTACTTCAACTATTTATACTGTATTGCCACAAAGACATATTTCTGTTGCTACTTCAAATAAAATTAGTGTGTTAAATCCGGCTTTCTCAGAACAGTGTGATAATACACTTAATAATAAGAGGAATGAAGCATGTGAATGTTTTAAGCAAGGCAAATTTTTTAAAGCATTAGAACTTTATGAGGAAATTCTTGAAACCCAGCACAGTGCTGAAGATCAAAAAAATGCTACAACCTGGAAACTTTTTTATAATAAATGTGGATCGAAAAAAATAAACGAAATGATAAAAACACTTTGCAAGAATACCACGCTAACTTCTTTGGATCTTTGTAATAATAATCTTGGATCAAAAGAAGGAAAAGCATTAGCAGACGCACTTTGCAAGAACAATACCCTAAAGATCTGAATCTTCGATATAATAATCTTGGATTAGAAGGCGGAAAAGCATTGGCAGATGCACTTTGTAAGAACGTCACATTGATTTCCTTGAATATTAGCGGCAATAATATTGGATCAACAGGGGGAAAAGCATTCGCAAATGCACTTTGTAAAAACACCACGCTAACTTTTTTAGATCTTAATTATAATATTCTCAAATCAGATGAAGGAAAAGCACTAGCTGATGCACTTTGTAAGAATACCTCACTGACTTATTTGAATCTTAATAATAATTTTCTTGGATCAGAAGGAGGAAAAGCATTAGCAGATGCACTTTGCAAGAACATCACATTGACTTCTCTGAATATTAGTTGGAATAATCTTGGATCAAGAGGAGGGAAAGCATTAGCAGATGCACTATGCAAGAACACTACATTGAAAGATTTGAATCTTGGTGTTAATAAATTTGGATCAGAAGTAGGAAAGGCATTAGCAGATGCACTTCGCAAGAATGTCACGTTGGAAAATCTGAACCTTGAACGTAATGATCTTGGACAAGAAGGAGGGAAAGCATTAGCAGATGCACTTTGCAGGAACACTTCGTTGACTTCTCTAAATCTTAGTTGGAATAATATTGGGTTAGGCAGGTGCACTTTGTAAAAACATCATACTAAAAGTTTTATATCTTCGGGGTAATGATATTAATCCATATTTTAGATATTTTAGTCACATAATTTATCATACAGATTACAGAGTTAAAATTTAATATATTGTCAAATGATTCTTGCACCTAAAATTTTTAAAGTAAACTTATAAAAAAATATTTATTTTTTGTTTATAAAAAAGTCATAATTTAAAGTGTAAAATTATTATCTATTATTAAAAACTCTTTTTTTGTAAATTTAACAATAACAAGAGAACCGTCGCATTAGCCCAGTGAGTTTTTTAATCCAGTTAAATACTCGTAAAATAGGTATAAATAAAAAAAGAAAAGCGAATGAGAATGTTATATTATGGTTGAATTTGTGATTGGATGAAGATGAGAGTTGATATCGTTTGTGTCGTTCTTAAGTGCCTCAATTAATGAGTCAAAATGTGTCGGGAACTAAAATTTAATTAGCGAATAAAAAAAAAATAAACATTATCGTGTATTATTTGGTCTCCTATACAAGTAAAGAAGACATACCTACGACCATAACCCCACTCTCGTCTAAGCTCGTTCGTAGATTACACGACGTCCTAGTTTGTGGATGGTTTCAATATTCAGTTTTGGTTAACCTGAGATCGTTTGATGCTCGACTTAGATTGTTCTCAAGCATCTAAATCAATTGATCAGATAATAATGATGCTCAAGTATACTTTTTCTGTTTTTCATAATGTTCGCTATACTACCTTAAAATCTAATGAAAAAAATTTCTTTTCGATCAACCGTTAAAGTTTCAATTTTATTTACGTCGGCTCCTCTTAATGATTTTAACAATTTAAATTTCTTTACTATCCGTCAAATATGGAAAAACATCCACCCCAACCTTTCAGTTTTAGGTCTTCTTTATTGAGAAGATTTTAAATTTAAATGAGTGAACAGTATTCATTATAGTTTATTAAAAGTTAAAGGGTGGAACGTATCTATTAAATTCTTTTCAAGGTATCGATTATTTGTTTTAAAAGCTTCGAACATTAAAAATAAAGTGGCTATTTTTAGACCGGTTAGTGTTTATTATCGTTATTATTATGTTTGATAAATTTCCGACTAATTAAAATTTTACTTCCGATCCATTGAGTGAGGTACTCTTAATCACAAGTCAAATTTTTGTTTGATTGTGCCGAGACTAGCCCGGATGTCGAAAAAAAGGGTTGATAGCCCGATCAAACAGGCCTGATATGAGTGTCGCCAAGGGAAAACCTACGTCGTACTTTTGAATACTTTTAATAAAAATAACTTAAAATCAGGCAATTAATACCTATAATTTTAATATCATTCTAATGAGACAATTCAAATAATATTAAGAATAGTAGGTACTACCGTATTTACCCAACATATGTACCCGGGTATTTCCCTAGCTCGTTTTAGTACCCTGGGTGGGGGATATATCGTATGGATATGAATATGTTTTATTATGTTTTCCCGGGACAGAAGTATGATAGTATCATACTTAGGTACCCGGGTATAAATCAAAAATTGGCTATCAAAATCGTTACAGGGCATTGGGTAAATACGGTAAATTACCTGTTTTTTAAGTTATTTTTATTAAAATTTAATATTCAAAAAGTACGACTTGTAGGTTTTCCCTAGGCGACACTCATCAATAAAAAAAAAAATGCGTTGCTATGGAACCAGCTGTAGAGCACGTGAGCAGCAAGACGAAATCCCAATGGTGTGGTGTATTTCATAGTTGTTGTGTTCCTTAGATTAATATAACTGGTTTTTTTACTGTACACAAATTTTATAAGTGTTCTCTTGAGACTCTGAGAACGTTAATTCGAACACTGGGCCTAAATAGGAAAGAATAAAGTCGTATAACAAAATTATGTAAAAATTTTTTTTTATTAAAACACAAAGGCTGCTACTATCGTTTTTTGAAAGACTTATTTTTTTCCTTTGAATTTCACATTATCTGATTTTGTGAAGAGCAAAAAATTTCTTGAAAAATATCAAAGATCCTCGCCCGAAAAATTTCTTTCAGTAAAAAATTTGGACAATTACTCGGCACGATAAAAAATCTGGCATGCCATAACCACATGGTTTATTTGTATTAATTTAATTGGGTAACCCTTTTTTTTAAATAACGAATACAGATCGCGTCTTTATTATTATTATTAATGGCATGCCTTTAGACTCAATGACATGCCATAGGCATGCCAAGGACCCTCGTGCCGAGAACCCTAAAGTCAAGGCACTTTCACTTCGGAAAATTTGGTAAGTTTAAAAAAAAAAAGGGATGCTAACAAGTATATAGACGACTGGAGGATTAAGCAAATAGCCTTCTTCAAATAGATGAATAATTAATTTTACGTGAAACAGGTCGAACTAAACCAAACTAGAAACGAGTTTTCCCGTCCCTAGATTTTTACGACTTTATAATGATAATCTAAGGGAAGGTCAATATTAAGATCGATACGTATTAATAAAAATTTCTAAAAAAAGCAAAATTTTCGGTTAATAATAGTAAACAAAAAAAATATTAGTGTTAGATTAAAAAAAAAAAGCTAGCATAATTTATATTTAGAATTTTCGAAGAATGTTATGTTTAGTCTTGCGCACTATCGCTATGCATAACATATATACTAATACAATAATAATATTATAGCCAAATAGATTAACATTGTTAACCAATTTACAAGTTTTCTCTCTTATCGTTAATCATATCTAATGACACAGTAATCTAACGGCTAAATAGAGCCATCATGATAAGATGAACCGAAAGGTACTAAAATATATTTGATTCTAATCAATGGATCTCAAAAAAATTGCGCCACAATACCGGATCCTCCCTTGTAAAACAATATTTCGTATTGTTAACAATATAAATCACCCTAACCCAAACAAAATTAGTAAATAAAAAAATATCCGTGATTTCCGGATTCTGAATGTCAAATTTCTATATGGAGAATCATTTACATCAATGAAAATTGAATAAAAAAATTCATTACTAAATTCCCGAATGTTTATCGTGTTGATACGTACATTATCGTAAACCATTCATAATTGTGTAAACATGTATACCAATACTAGTATTTTTATTCCGATTCGTAATTATGCACAGTAATAAAAACAAATTTCGGAGTTTCCGTAATTGCGGAAATACAATATACCCGAAAGTCACGTGATTCTTCGTCTATTACGTATACTTTAAGAAAAGCTAGATCGATAATTTTGTCGGAACTCGGCTTAAAGTTATCAATCAATTAATCTTGTTAATCTCAAACAAAAGGAAAAAGATAATTTCATTTGTAAAAATGCAACATGTGAAATTTATTTCAAATGAGTAATATATTGTTTATTATTTTACAAAGGAGAAATATATACAAAAATTTACTATGTAATATACTTTTTTTTTTTGTATGAAAACGAAATAATTTGTTATTCAGTTTCACGTCCTTCCACCAAATGATGTACATGCCCTTCTGATCGTACATGACTTGTACAAACGTCGATTCCTTTAAACCATTCATTTTCTAAAATGTCTTTCATTGTAGCACGATTTTCTACATTTACATCAAGCATTTTTTTAATTAATGCTCTTGATTTTTCTGGAATTCTTTTAAATAATCTATCAGGATTGGAAAGGTATGCCCTGAATGAAGGTTCACTAGGTTTTGCAATCATCCAAGGGAATCTACCCATATGCATACAAACAAATATTATTCCTATCGCCCAGATGTCAGCTAATCGAGGATCATAGGGATTTTTGTTATAAGATTCTGGGCATATGTATGGATCAGATCCGTATGGTCCTTTAGAGAAAGAAACTTTGTTATCAAAAGGATTTTTAAAGACGGTAGAACAACCGAAATCGATTATTTTTAGGATTCCAGATTCATCCAACATACAATTATCCAATTTCAAATCTCTATGAGCAATTCCCATTTGATGTAAATAATTTACACCATTAATTATTTGTTTGAAACAACAAGCAATTTCATCTTCAGACATTTTTTTAGTCATTACAGATTCAAATAAATCATATGGAGCGAATTCCATAATTTCGTATAATTGTTCATTTTCTTGTGCAATGTCTATGGTTTCTATTATATTTTCATGATGAAGAGTTCTACCGATACAAAATTCGGCTAAAATTTTTTTACGATAAGATTTTTCAGATTCGTAATCAAATCTTGATCTGAATTGTTTTATAGCAAATGTTTTATTATCACACGATCGATGAAATAATCGTACAGTGCCACCAACTCCAGAACCAAGCCGCCTACCCCATTTGCCATGTTTTGAAATTTGAAGATTTTTACGTGTAGAAAAAGAATTTGATCTTGAAGGAGTTTTAAAAGCACGTTTTAATTCACCAAATAAACTAGACTTCTTTTTAGAAGGTTTTTTAAAGATAAATTGAGGAGGAGTGGATTTTGAAGGATGAAGAGAACTTGAAATTGAAGATTCAATAGAGGTGGAACGTGAGAACTCATCGGAACTAAGTTGAGGAGTGAGGTCATCACGACTCAAACCACTGTTAGAAGATTTTAAGAATTGTAATTGAAGTGTTTTAGGATCCTCATTTGGTATTGGCATTGAATGATCATGTAGAGAAATTGAAAATGTGGCAGCATTGTTATATGAATCATTAAGAGATTGAATAGGGGATGAAGCTAGTATAGAAGTGGCACTCTGAGAATAACCGGTTGGATCGTCTATCCATTCTTCTTTAAATAAAGGATTATTTTCCCGGATCATGACTTGTGATGATGATATCAAAGACTTTTTTTGTGATGGAAAATATACACTTGAACGTCGAATAAAAGTAGGATCGAATGTCATTCTTATATAATTTTAAACAAAGAAAATACTTTATCAAAAAGCTTTATCTAAAAATTTGACTATGAGTAAGCGTGATTTAAATTCTGATTGTTTATATTTTGATATATAACTGAAAAATAATGAAAAAATAATAAATCCGAAAAAGATACTTCGTGTGGGGATATAAATAGTTTTTTTTCATTAAATTAAATATATTATATTTATATTGTATTATTAATAATAATTACCGCATGTAATGCTGATATCAAACAGATCATCATGTTCAAATGATAATTTGGCAATTACAATAATTTAATGATAATTCGGTACAAATTCAACCGAATCCTTATTTGGAAATGTAATTATATCATTTTATTAATTGTTTATTATAAAAGAGAATAAAGAGGGGCTAGACGGTGGCTAGACGCAGGTACACGCAGCATGCGGTATGCGGTATGAGAGAAAAATGGTTTTTTGGATAATAGTAATAGTAAACATTCACGTACGACAAATACACATGTATAGTTTCTAGACAGACCTCGACTCTAAAAGTACCTGCGGTATAATTTAAATATGTTGTTACTGCATATTTGACACACCTGGTCATTTTATATATCGATATATATAATGATGATTATAATAGTTATAATGATAGTTATATATAACAGTATAACGATAGTTATAATGATAGTTATACATAACAGTATAACGATAGTTATAATGATAGTATAATGATAGTATAATGATAGCTATAATGATAGCTATTAATGATAAATGATTAGTCATTGATTACTATTTTATTTATTTCATTAATCATTGACGTTAAGGTAGTTCGGCTGTTCGGCTGTTTATTATAATTTGTTTACGTATCATTTTTATCACAAAAAGGTCAACCTTCGGCTAAGGATTAATTTATTTGAGCTTCACATCCATATGTGAAAAAAAAACCACTAACAAACGGATATATGTTTATCAATTTTTTTGTAATGTTATGTTCTAGACGTTATCCCCTAAACTTTATTAGTCCCTTTTTCGTTGAACAGATTTGTTTGTTACTTTTACTTATAGCCACATGGTAATTATAGCATTGTGGATCCATGTTAAAGATTTGTACTCCAATCCGGAAAACTGGGAGCCGTTTAAAACGTTCGGAAAAATGGTCTGGACTTTACCTAATTTCGGACACCCCCCCATACGCCAACCCCTAACAATTATTAATAACCACTTTTGACAGGGTATTCGAAACTGATCGACCATACTTATATGGATTTTCGATCCTAGCCCGGATCGGTCTGGACCGTTATTATATATCCATGTGTAATTACGTATTTATGCACGTACGTATCTTGGTATGTATATAAAGATCTAGATCCTAGATGGCACAACCAATGAAATAGTTCGTTTCAAAGTCGAGACCGATTGAATTGATCATCCATTCTATAAACATGTTCCATGTAATCTAGGTTTCACCTCTCGTTCCTTTGAATGACAAAGAAACTCTAATCTAAATGGCAATGACTAGAAACTTTAATCTAATATAAACGATAATGAGTGACAAAAAAATCCTGATATAAACAATAAGAATTCTAATAAAAATGATACATAAGAAATTTTAATCATATAAATGATAAGAAATCTTAATATAAATGATAAGAAATCTTAATATAAATGATAAGGAAATCTTATATAAATGATAAGAAACCTTAATCTAAATATATATATAATAAGAAACCTTAATATAAATAACAAGAAATGTTATTGTTTTAAAGTGCCACATTATAGAAAACTTTATTTAAAACACTTTAAACTTAATTTTAGGCAAAAACGAAAATCATTCTGATACATGTTTCTTGATGTACGTCAGAAATATGGATTAAAGGTATCAGATTTTATCTTTTTATCCTTATTCTTTCTTTTAGATCGTTCGTATATACTATTTCCTTTCAAATCATATATCGATATGTGTCAACTTTCTACATTTCTTTCATTCTTTTCATTCTTTGTTAATAATTACATATGTGTGCGTGTTTTTCATTTCTTTAAATGTCATTTTTATTATAGTATTATGTATGAATTGTAAATGTATCCATAATCGTAAAAAACTATTTCTGCTAACTTAATAATATTTAATTTTATGTCATTAATGATTTCTATTATCGTTTTATTAATTATCTACAGTATTTATATTAAGCTAAACATTTATGTTTATTATTACGTATCAAAGTTAATATTTGTTACTTTTATTTGGTATTGGATCCCATACATAAACCCCGTTTCTATGTCGCTGTTTGTAAATCCCTCTGCCTGACATCCTGTCATATCTTCATAATCTTCTTGATATTCGTGAACTTTTCCTTCATCATATTCAATTTATAATCTGCATACATACAAGGAGGCTCAATTATTTATTATTTATCGTTTTATTTAGTAAATCTTTCTTATTCTCTTCGTTTTAATAGTTCTTCAATTAATTTTACTGTCCCAATTACTATATTTTCCCACATTCTATTTTTAATTGATTTTAATTATATCTTTACTCACTATAGTTATTAGTGTACCTACTTGTATGAAATTCGATTGTTATCCTCTCGCATTTTGCTTTCTCCTGCATGTCACAAAAACTGCAAAAATTTTGTTCGTTGTCTATATTAAAATTTTATTTAAATTATTAAAAAAAATGCTATTTTTATTCTAAATTATAATTTTATTAATTACTATCATTATTATTTATGCTTACCTCCACACATCCGACTGATACTAAAACCATTATACATAACTAAAAAACAATGTAGTTCCCCTGAACTTATCGATGAACAGGATCCCGTGATTATTTTTGACATCTTGCTGAGCAAGCAAAGCACGTACTGTATTTCTGCGACATGTGTACCCGGGGTATTCCCCTAGTTCATGTCATGTACCCGGGTACGATATACCATATGAATATTTCTATGTTTTTACTATTACATGCCCGGGTATTTAAGTATGATACCCTCACACTTATATATCCGGGTATAAATCAAGATTTGACATCCAAAATCGCCACGGGGTACAGTCCACAGGGGGGGTACACATGTCGCAGAAATAGGACATTCTACTGGACATTATACTGGTGGACTTTTTCTGCTGGGCAAATAACGGACAGGGTTATTGGTGCAATGCATTCTTCTGGTCAAGTAGCAGGTAAAATTACTAGAGCTTGTCTTAGGCTTATTTCTTCAAAAGGAAATGAAAAACTAACGAAAAAGTCGTTAAAGCTATTAACACAACAGTCTATTGATTTTTTTGTTGATACGTATATACATTACTCTAAAAAGCATATGAAAAAAAAAATTACAATGAAGTAGTCGTGCTATATCAACAAATCAAATTAGTGGTAATATTATCCACTAAAATCGTCTTGCCAGCAAATGACTTTGTGATTAATTTATTGAACTACATTGAACTGTAGTTATTCTATCATATTACAGTTTGTTGCTTAGCTGACAAGTTCTACTGCAAGTATCGTTAATTTTGCAGATTCTTCGGTGAAATATTTATCAAAGTAGGAAATTTTAATTTACTACGCCTTTTTAGTAGTTACTGCAAATAAAAAAGAATTCCACGCGGATTCTTTGCTTATCAATCATTTATTAGAAAAATTTGTGAATTCTGCTCAAAGCAAAATTCTGCATAAATTCTGTCATTTTACTCTAATTGCAGCATATTTCAAGTTTCATGATGACGATGACCGCTTAAATGATAGTGATTTATTCATCTTTTCCTGTATAATCTGTTGTGGTGTCTAATTACAAACACAGTGTTGATCACTAATTAAGATTTTTTAGTGTACTGCAGATTTAATAGTAAAAACATAGAAAGTACAAGCTGCAGTAACTATTGAACCAGCAAACCCACACAAGTAAAATTTTATTTGTCAGGTTTGTCATAGTGTGTACTTTGACGTGACTACGCCCTTTTTTTTTATTTTCATTGACTGAAGTGTAGTGTAATACGAAAATTCTCGATTTTGATGGCTTATTAATAAAAATATCAAAAACGTAACTTTGAATTTTTCTGCGCATATTGTGACACAATATGCAATAGCTACGTTTTTGATTTTTTATTAATAATAAATCAAAAACGAGAATTTTTGTATTACATTATTCTCCCGCTACACTCCAGGAAATTAAAATAAAAAAAACTCCCGACAAATAAAATTTTATTTGTGTGGGTTTGCTGGTTCATGGTGCAGGTTGTAAACTACTACATTAACATAGCTGCCGCAACAAAATTAATTGTCACGGCAGATTTTCGATTTTGATTGGCTAACGGCCGTGATCTGCAAAATTTTGGCCCGCATTATATAATTGCCGGCCAGATTGATTTTTTTCGTTACAAAAATAAAAATAAGCCGGACAATTAAAATATCTATTTTTATTTGAAGCATGAATTTTTTTTTAAAAAAAAAAGAACTCTAAACAACTTTTTGAACTTTGTTACAAATACGAACTCGGTATTGGTGTTAAAAAAGACGAAAAGAAGGCTTTTGGATATTATATGAAAACGGCTGAGTTAGGAAGTTCGAATAATATTAATATTTGTTATAATTATGAATTGGAATAGAAATGAATTACCAGAAATCATTTGAATATTGTAAAAAATCGGCTGATTTGGGTAATACTTGTGGAATGTGTACTGTAATGTTGGTTTTCGTTATGAAAATGAATTCGGGGTTGATAAAGATTATAATAAAGCATTTGAATACTACAAAAAATCTGCTAATATGGGTGATAAAACAGCAATGAGTAACGTCGCTCGGTTGTATCGAAACAAAATGAAATATTCAAAAGGCAAATTGTTGGTCTGGAAAATATAGAAACCTTTTGAAACCTAATAAATCACCTGATAATATCAATCTTGAACTTAAGAAAATATTAGACGATGAAAATTTTAAATTATTTTGGATTGATTATAATGAGTTCAAAGGTATTGCAGAATTGGGAAAATGAGGATTTGCAACTATATATTATGCACGTTGGTTT